GTCGTTTTTTTCGGCTAAAAACGCCTTACTATACTATGTCGTTTTTTTCGGCTAAAAACGCCTTACTATACTATGTCGTTTTTTTCGGCTAAAAACGCCTTACTATACTATGTCGTTTTTTTCGGCTAAAAACGCCTTACTATACTATGTCGTTTTTTTCGGCTAAAAACGCCTTACTATACTATGTCGTTTTTTTCGGCTAAAAACGCCTTACTATACATGGTCGTTTTTTTCGTTGAAAAATGCCTTACTATAGATGGTCCTTTTTTTCGCCTAAAAACGCCTTACTATACGTGGTTGTTTTTTTTGTCTACAAATGCCTTTCTATACATGGTCGTTTTTTTTCGGCTAAAAACGCCTTACTATACATGGTCATTTTTTTCGTCGAAAAACACCTTCCTATACATGGTCGTTTTTTTCGGCTAAAAACGCCTTTCTATTCATGGTCTTTTTTTCGCCTAAAAACGCCTTAGTATACATGGTCGTTATTTTCGGCTAAAGACACCTTACTCTACATGGTCGTTATTTTTGGCTAAAAACGCCTTACTATACATGGTCGGTTTTTTCGGCTCAAAACGCCTTCCTGTACATGGTCATTATTTTCGTTGAAAAACGCCTGACATCGTTTTTTTTTCGGCCCAGAACGCCTTACTATACATGGTCGGTTTTTTTCGGACCAAAAAACCCTTACCATATATGGTCGTTTTTTTTTTCGGCCAAAAACGCCTTACGTGATCATTTTATTTCAGCCCAAAACGCCTGAGTATGTATGGTCGTTTTTTTTTTTGGCCAAAAACGTCTTACAATACATGATCGTTTTTTTTCGGCCCAAAACGCCTTACGATACTGTATTATCAATTTGATCAATCAAATAAATACAAGTAAGATAAAAAGAATAAAGGGTGATAGTACAGTAGATAGGGTAACAATTCGATGTCGTGAAAATGTTATCTCTTTTCTTGGGGAAAAAAAAGGTTTTAATCGAGCAACTCAATTTTCTCGAACACTCAGTCTTTTTCTTCTTTCAAAAAAATGCCACTTTATGTTCATAAAATGTAATTTAAATTAAATTACCTTTTAAATAAATAATTTAATATACCGTATATTAAATTATTTAATATACCCGTTTTATTCTTGTGTGATATTATAAATTGTCTTCTCCTAACTCCTAGTAATTTGTAAAATGACCATAAATGCTATTTAATTTATTGCCCTTTTAAAATATACATAAAAAAACTAAAATTGAATTATATAAGTAGTATATAATAATAGTGTCTGTCTGGTTAGCGCATTTCTTCACTTCCAACTTTCCGTGAATTGTGATGGCAAACCCACAGGTAAATCACAACATGAATCTGCAATGTGAAAATAAAAGAACAGTCTCCTCACAGTTCATAAAAAGATAGCTTTATTGCACAAGGTGTTCAGTATTTTTTTTCTCTTTTTTTTTATTTTTTTTTTTACATTTTCATAGAAAAAGAAAATGTTGATTTCAACACAAGCAATTGCAAATCAAATCAAATGTTAGCTCGCAAAATGAATATTAAGGAACAAGCGCTGCCTTTTGAAAGTGTTTTCATGACCCCTCGTTATAGCATTTGCCACTTTGCACCCAGCAGAATGTTCGCAACATGCAAATGCTTCTGTCCTCAAGTGGGATTCCAACTTCAACGAAACAAAAACCAAAGGAGACAATGCGACAAAAGGTCCCGTAAAAGAAGAAATCATATTTGAATTGTGCATGGCCCACCCTGATTTGCTTCAATAAATCAAGATAAAGCAATTTCTCTATAACTCTTTTTTTTTAAATACTTTTTCATCAAGTCCATTTGTTTCATTACAATAACTTCACTTTAAAGTTTACATTGTGCCCTGGTATCTAGTGAAGATGTTGAAAATAGTACTCATTTATACAAAAACACTTTCCTATGTACACAGGGTTTCTATTGATGGAATGAAACGATGTCAGACTGTGTAGCAGTGGGAAGAAGGGCTCTCTCATTGGTTGAGCCAAACATTTCAGGGGGATGCCAAGTTTACACCTCAAATCGGTCAGGTTCAAAGTTCAAAGTGTGTCCCTCGTGTGAAAAATCCACCCCGTGACATGCATGTGTCAGGAGAATAAAACATGTCAAGGCCACGGTTGAGAGGAAAATGGAAGAAAAGCGTCAAAAGCGATTCCTGCGGTCGATTACAGTGGTCCCTCGCGATATTGCGGTTGACCTTTTGCGGACTCGCTACATTGACGATTTTTTTTTTTTCCGAGTGCAATTTTGCATGCTGTTTTTGTACAACGTAGGAATCCGCATTGCATCCGGCATCCTGAATGGCTAAAGTACCCTCGAGCAATTTGAATCCATCGACACCATGCTATGTATCCCGCACAATCAACAATTCATAGTAATAATAATAATAATAGTAATAATACGGTCTACTTATTTTTCTTGCAAAGGTTTGAACTTTAATCAAGAGAGAAATATGAGAAAATGTTAACAGTGAGGTTTACAGCCTTAAAACAGTGTCATATTTGTATTTTCTTTCTTTTAAGTAACCCAGTGATAAACGAGGGACCACTGTAAATGGAACTTTTGTTCAGCCACTGGAGGGAACAATGTATTAGGAATGAGCTTCATGAATATTTTCATCAAATTTGGTCAATCATGCAGAAGTTGAGTGATAAAACTTCCATAGGCTATTACAAAGGATCACGGAGTTTTTCTTGTTGGAGCGATATGAACATTTTTTACCAGCAGATGGTGTAAAACAGTAATCCAGATTCCATAAAGTTTGCTTCCAAAACGGCTACGTCAGTGACTCTCAAACATTTGACACCAAACTCCACCTCGAAAAAAAAAAAAAAATCCCTCGCTTTCCAAGTAGACCACCATAACGAATGAAATAACGTTAGTGATTTGCTTTTTATTTCTAAAGAGTAGATGCAATGTAACATTATGCAGAATTTTAACATTAACACTGTGCTCCATTAGAAGAAAAGAAAAAAAAACGGTAGTTTAATTACGTAAATGTATGACACGGTATTAAAAACAAAAATAATTAAAAACAAGTTTTAAAGATTAAATGCAAATGTATTGTACTCACAGGTTAAATACAACTGAACACCACCGAAGAAATGCACTGTACTGGATTATTAAAAAATAAATAATAATCATAATTTAAATTCAATATTTCTTTCTTCGACCACTAGAGGGAGTCCTCATACCACGAGTGCATGTACTGAGAACTACCGGGCTACAGGAATAAATAAAAATAAAAATAAATCATTTTTTTAAGTAGCGCTTCAATGTTTTGTAAGGCAAATTTTATTGGTTCATTTAGGGAGTGGGGGGTGGGATTAAAGAACAAAATAAAATAATAAAAATAAACTAATTTAAACATAAATATGGGAAACACTGTACATCAATGGTGACCATCCTTTTTTTTTTGTTGTTTGTGTACCCCCGAAGCTTTTTGTCATTACCGCCTTACACACATATATGTTGTGATGCTCCCAAGGTGGAATGTAACATAAATGATTACCAAATGGAAATCTTTTTTTTTCTCCTCAACATGAACATTTAACTCGAAGGCAGTGTCTTCTTTTTAACGATTAAGCTATGAATTAAAATAAAAAAATAAAAATAAACCTGCCTTCGTTGTATATAACTCTTCTTTTATTTAGGACAAAAACTTTGCTCGTTTGAATAAAGTTACCTTTAAACGGGCGCTTAAACTTTCAACATAAGGAACAATACACTGAGCAAGAATAGTATTCAGACCCATAACAATTGCAGTTTTACTTTCTTTTCATCCGTCATTTGAGCTTTAATGAGACACTTGAGTTGACATGCGCCTGTTGTGCTTTTTGGCTCAGCTGTTCCGCACAGATTTTTCATCTGGGAAATATATTTTTCAAGGTTTCCATGTGTGCCCTGCAATATGCTCATGTACGTACCCCTTGTTGGGAAACACGGCTGTAAATCTGTTTCATTAGACACCGACAATCCATCATATAGTACAATGAACGTATTAAAAGATGAAGTTATGGTTCAGTTATGAATCTAAGAGGGCAGACTTTCCCATAAGAGACGTCGGATTTCCTTTGAGCAAACTGACATAAGATCAGTGTCTCGTGGCAACTTGACTGGTCGCACAAGTTTAGCCCCAACCCTCCAATACGCGTGCGATAGAAAGGTAAACAGGCTAGCTACAGTTAGTTTTCTGCGAAAAGTACATGACGAAGTGGAAATTTAAAGGCCAAAAAAGTCGAGTTGGGCGTGATGGCATCAAGTCGGTGAACACAACTTTCAAAGGAACAACTCACTCACTTACTATCGGGCGGATATAAAAGTCTCCAAAAAGCTATTCAAATGTCAGGCTTTTGTGATATAAAAAAAAAAAATTGGATATAAAAGTCTACAAACCTCTATTCAAATGCCAGGCTTTTGTGAGATTAAAAAAAAAAGAGGAGATAAACAATGTGACCGATAACTATCCATCCATCCATCAATTTTCTAATCTGTTTATCCTCACAAGGGTCGCCGGAGCCTATCCCGGCTGTTTTCAGGCAGTAGGCAGGGGACACCCTGAACCGGTTGCCAGCCAATCATAGGGCACACAGAGACGAACAACCATTCACACTCACACTCTCACCTAGGGACAATTTGGAGTATTCAATCAGCCTGCCATGCATGTTTTTGGAATGTGGGAAAACCGACACAGGTACGGGGAGAACATACAAACTCCACACAGGATGGCCGGAACCGGGATTGAACCCATGACCTCTGCACTGTGAGGTCGATACGCCACCATTTATTATCATATTCCGAATTTGCACCTGAATGGTAAAAGGGGTAAAACAAAAAGAATTGAGGGGCTGGGGGGAGGTATCATGGTCATCAATCATGCCCCCCACTCACATGTACTCACTCTCGTCTTGTCAGGCATTCATTGTTGTAATTGGGTCTTGCCAGGTTACCTGTAACCAGTGCAATTGAATGAAAGGGGGTGTCACAAAAAACTTGGCATTTGAACAAATGTGTAGACATTTTCCATCCAGCGTATGCTCTGCTCTTGTTTTCACACATTTTCATTCTTTCTCAACACTGAGCTCACCACACACGGTTTGTTTTCTACCTCGCAACACAATCTCACACCACGACCGAACTGTGCTTTGTCTTCCAAAGCCGCGTCCACGTGCAGCCTGAATCGCAAAGGGGGAGAGACAGAAGGCAGCGCCTCAACATCCTTCCATTTTTTTCCCCTCGAGGCTGGGACACTTGTGCTACCCGTTAAAGTCACTCGCATCTTTGTCATTTCTTTCTTTTCTCTTTCGGAGCGATTGTCATGTGATCTTTTCTAATATATTTTCAATTTGTGGGGCTTTAATAGCTATTTTTTTCTCAATAGTCATATATTTGCTATATATTTGAATAGAAATATATATATGTACATATATATATCGATATATATATATATTTTTAAAAACAAACATATACATCTTTTTCTATTGCGAGAGTCCTGATCTTGGTTACGTTTGATCATTGCAAAACATTTGGAGCAACTCCATTTTAAAATGTTTTATTTTATTTTAATCCTAACTGATTCTTTATTATGGGATGATGCTTTGGGGGGAATAAATTGCGATGAACTCAAAAGTCAGTCAGATAAAGAGGTACAGCACCATGCATAAAGCTAAACTAATACACGGAGGCGTCGTCTCTTTTGTGTTCGCTAACTCAGCATTCCAAGGCTGTGTTCAGAATCATTCGGTCATGCGCCGCTTCCCCATCGCTATACAATGTTCCTCCCCATATTCTCTCATTTAGAAGGGAAACCTATCCTCAAACCAAAACTTTTATCATAAATACAGGAAGTATTGCTTTGGCGCCATCTTGTGGCATCTTGGTGCCAAGAAAGTATGTTGAGGTGTCGTGACGAGCTTTTATTATTTCAGGCCATAGCCAAAAGTAGAGATTCGCTCATAGTTCATGCTATCTATAGCCAATTGTATTATTATTATTAGCGTTACATTTTATAGTTGGGGTAATCAAATACATTCATTCTTTAAATGAAAAATGTTCCAGACAAACCACAATTCCAAGAAAGTTGGTACGTGAGTAAAATGTATTGTAAATAAAAACGAAATACAATGACTTCCTTTTCAACTTTCAATTGAACACACTAACTACAAAGACCAGATATTTATTGTAAACTAATGAACATGATTGTTTTTCTTTTTTTTTGGGGGGGGGGATTATCTTATTTTGGATTTGGTGCATGTAACACATGAAAAAATGCTGGGGCAGGAGCAAAAGAGTGGTAAAGTTGAGGAATGCTAAAAAAAAAATAATTAAAAAAAACACCCATTTGGAAAAGCTGGTTGTGGTCTGTTGAGTCCGCACCAAATTTTTTTTTTTTCGAAATTATGGTTGTGTCCTCCAGATCAAAGAGGAAAAGGACCATCGAAATTTACATCAGCACAATGTTCAAAAGCCACGGAGGATCTGTGATAGTGTAGTGGTGTGTTAGTGCCCATGGCATGGGTAACTTGCATACTTGTAAAAATACCACTAATGCTGAAAGGTACACATTGAGGTTTTGGAGCAATATTATGCTGACATCCAAGCAACATCTTATTCAGGGATGTCAGCGCTTACTTCAGAAAAGACGATGCCAAACCACATTCCGCACGTGTTAGAAACAGTGCGGCTTCATAGTCAATGAGTGTTAGCACTCGACTGGCCTGCCGGCAGTCAAGACCTGTCTCCCATTGGAAATGGGTGTTACAATATGAAGCGTAAAACACAACAAAAGAGACCGTGGACAGTTGGGCAACTGAAGTTGCACATCAAGCAAGAATTGGAAAGAATTCCACCGACAAAGCCTCAATATTGTGCATTCTCAGTTCCCACTGACTTATTGGGTGTTGTTAAAAGGAAAAGTGACGCCACAGTGGTAAAGATCCCCTGTCCCTGCTACTTTGGAAAATGTTGCAGGCGTCAAATGTAAAATAAATAAATATTACGGAAAAACAAAACAATCAAGTTGATCAGTTTTAACATGAAATATCTGTCTTTGTTATGTATTCAATTCACTATAGGGCATTGTATTCTGTTCTGCTTTCTGTTTTACACAACATCCCAACTTCTTTGGAATTGGGCTTTGTAATAAACTCGAGCACTCGTTTTTGTCATAATTTTGTTTGATGCCGTATCTTGAGGTTTTATGTATCTTGGCTTAGTGAGGGGTCGGGAAACACCGGTTAACGGGATAATCTATACTCACTACGTATTTGACAGCACTACAAAATGGTGAGCTGATTAAAAAGGGAGCCATTTGGGAACACAGCCCAATTGTCTGTCTGCTCTACATATTTGCTAAGCACAGTGACCCTGTATGGGATATGACGTCAGGGGATGTGAACGAAAGGATTCCTTGTAAAATAACCACAGCACGGACGAATGATTGTGGCTCCTTGAAGAACCATACGCGTTACTTGTTAACCCTTGCCTTTCTTTCAATTGCAAACAAGATCATCATTAAAAAATAAATTCAAAATGCAGCTCCCTAAATACGAAATGGACTGTGGGTTTTAGTGTTTGGACGCTTCAGCATACAGATTGACTTTTAAAAAGGTCCGCCGTTGTTGTGTGCCTGCCACACGTGCACATGTACGTATATATTTACACATATACACCCACGCGCGCGCGCAGCGTAGGTTTGAGAATCTGCACATGTGAGATTATATTTCAAGGATTAGTAATCGCCGGGAATGAGTATTCCCTCGCTGGCAGGTTTCTTGTAGGTTCCAGGATACATGTATGCAAAAGACATTTCATGGCGCAAACGCCATCAAATCGGGTGGCTAATGCATAACAGTAAAAGCATCCCGCTGTGGTGCAATGCCGTGATATGAGTTCCTTTGCACCTAAAACATAACCGGCATGAAATTCAAGCAACCACCTCCTTCAGCCCATGAAGAGGATTTTGTGCATACGTTGGATGGGGGGAGGGGGGGGGTCAATGAGCGGGGGTCAAAGCCGACAAATAAATGATACGCGTTTTGACAAGTGGTGTCTTAAAGAGATGCGGGAGAAACACAAACAGGCCGAAAGAAAGGCAACCCACTGTGCTGTGGAGACCGCCCAACTCCTCCATACTGCAGTGTTCATGGGAGCCCCAGCAGCCCCCTTCGGCCCGGCATAGCACAGGCACCTACGGGTGAGGAGCCGGGGCTTGGTGTTTTCTTCACCCCACATTTGACCGCTAATCTTTTTAGTTAGCCGCCACAATGTCAGGCTACACCAGTGTGTACGACTTAGAGTAGGCCCCGGCGCCCCCATCCCTCTGCTTCTGTAGTCTGCCTAGGCCTGACGAGCTGCTCTCCAAAAGAGAGTCTCTGGAACCTCCCATCTTAGAGGAAGAGGAGGAGGAGGCGCCACCAGGCGTGCCTCCTGTGGCCCCCACAGCCCCACCGGAGGATGATGATGAGCCAGCGGCAGCGGCGGCGGTAGCTGCCGCCGCCGCCGCGGCGCTCTGAGCCCCCGTGGCCGAGGAGCCCGGCATGGTGACAGTCCTCTGGGGAAGGGTGGAGCTGCTAGAGCTGGCGGACATGCCTCCACCTCCAGAAGCTCCTCCGGCAGACGCCCCGGAAGACGTCAGGTTGGACAGGCCAGAGTGGCCCATGGTTAGGGCCTGCTGCTTTGTCGAGTCCATAGTCATATGACGGCCCTGGGTGTGGTAGGTACGCTGGGCCAGGCCGCGGATGGAGGCTTCGCGCGGGGGGACCACTGGGCATGGGTCATGATGGTCGGACTGCTTTCGGAAGAAGGGGTCTGACTTCATGTAGAGGGGGATGTTGCAGTAGTCACCTGAAGGGGACAAGTCAAGCAAAAATTGAAAAAAGTCAAATAAACTGATGGGTCCATGAGGCGTCATGAAGCGTGTTGACACAATGACACACTGTGTTGACTCTGACTCTCTCTCTGTCTGTCTGTCTCTCTCTGTCTCTCTCTCTCTGTGTGTGTGTGTGTGTGTCTCTCTCTCTCTCTCTCTCTCTCTCTCTCTCTCTCTCTCTCTCTCTCTCTCTCTCTCTCTCACAAAGTTGTTGTCGGAATGCGTCACGGTCACCCGTTTCTCCCCGTCCGCTTACAGTAAAATGACAATGACATTATTTAAAACAAGTTTTGCTCTGTCTTTTTTTTCTCATTCTGGGATTTATATTGGTAACTCAGTTCGCAAACATTGTGGTTTTGTTAAAAAAAATAATCGCACTAAAAAAATAATAGCATTAAGCTAGCTGACCTTCCGAAGTTACAAAAGGTTCCTGTTTTAAAACTACAATTTTATTTTTAGTCTTTCTGTACAGGTCTTAGTTTGACAGCAAACTTTTACTACCGTAGTAGTCGCACTAAACAGCTTGAAACCTCTTTTTGGAAGAATTTGTTCACCATTGACCAAACTACAGCTTATGTTACACTTGCTTGCTGGTGAAGTAAGTGGAGTTTGCTGCCGCCATGCAGTGTTAATATATGCAAATTTTAACGAAAGGCACTTGCAATCCAAGACATCACTGTAATTATTTTTACTTCTTAAAGAAAAAGACTTACTCTTGGCGCGGTGCGGGATGGGCACGGCTACATTCTTGCCGCGATCATAGTCCTGGGGCTTGGGCGGCGAGGCGGTGAAGCGGCAGATGCCGGGCTCTGATGGCGTGCTCATGGACGTCATGCTGTCGGCGTTGTCGTTGGTGCCTGTGGTCATCTGGTCGGACGAGCTGTCGGAGATGAAGCACTCGGTGATCTCGAATTTGGCGTGCTGAAGGTGCTCCTCCAGCTTGGCGTGCTCGTACGCCCTGGCCAACTCCTCGTAGGTGGACGAGGCGCTCTCCGTCGACACCATGCTGTTACGACCCTTATCTGTGGAAATGATACAAGATAAGGACAGCATCACAAAAATATCTGGCCGCTGCATTCGTGAAATATTTTTGAACGTTTTGAATAATTCGATGCAGCTACATATGTGGCAACAGTTTTTGTTCCAGCATAAATGTCGGGGGTCCTTGGTTTTTATGTCAGAGTATTCGGCGTCTAAGAGTGCTGCACCCATGTAAAAATCAAATCACAGATATCAAAATTTTCCCCTTGGTATGCAGGTGCCACAGAGTGACAAGGGGTGGCCTTAGCCAACTCTGGCCACCCTGTAGCGCCGCCCTTGCCAGCATTTTTCTGAGAATGTTACATGACATCGTCGTCAAATTTGGGACACAAAATGGTCCTAAATGACGACCTGCTTCAGGTCTTCAGCCCACCCAAATACTTCAACTCAATATACTGGGCGAACATAATCAGCTCAAAATCCACAACTAGGGGTTAAAAAAAAACCCAAAACAAAAAAAAAAAAACACATTTTTACTGCATAGAGAAGGCAAAATTAATTCCACTTGGAAAGGTTATTGTGCATTTCACTGAAATTTCACTCGAGAGCGCAAAATCGTTAAGGTGACACAAATGGTGCCGCGTAGTGGTAGTTCACTGTCGCCCGTGTGCCAACCTGTGTCCTGCGAGAGGCTGGCGCTGTAGCTGTCGCTCTCAGTGACGGTGATACCGTGTTGCGAGCTGACCGTGCGCCAGTCCGAGGCGAGAACGCGGGCCGGCGTGGAAGCCTGACACTTGGTCAGAGTCCACTGACTGGAGTAGCGGTTCCTGATGCTGTGGGCGGATTTGACGCTCTTCCTCGAAACCGGATCTGGCAAGTGAACGTAGAGGACGTTTCAAATCAGGGACCGACATTTGCCAAACGGGACACTTAATTAAGAGACTTCTGGTGGGGGTTCAGCAAACCAGGAAGACATGTGGGTCATATCGACACTTGCATTATCACTCACTGCTTCAGTTAGTTCAAGTTTGTCTCAGACGGTGAGAAGGCCCAACGAGGAGAAGGATCACTTACTGGTTCCTGGTCTGATGTCTGACATGTCAATCAAAGGACCAGTGTTCTGGATGAGAGCAGGGTGGTGAACGGACACACCTGCGCAGAAGCTTTGCGGGTTCCCAGTCTGATTGAACTCCGTGTCGGTCACAGGTATGGTGGCCTTGTCCTCGCCTGTCCGAGAGGCAGGAAACGGCTTCGATAAGCGAGTCCTGTGTTTATTATTCCTGCGACATGCTCACAGATGCAAGCACAACAACACTCTGTCTCTCTCGCTCGCTCTTTCTGCCTTCCTCTCACCGATCTGCTTGATGCCCTCTTTGTCTTCGATCAGCAGCTGCACTCTCGGGATGTCGATGTGCAAGCGCGGGCCCTGAGGCGGCCCCTTCACCGGGGTGTCAAAGCTTCGGTTGTTTTTACTGCTCCACACACACACGGACAGACATTCACAGTGTTAGGATTGGACCAAAACGTTCGGGTTCTGCGTGTGCATTTGGGAGGCTGATATGAAGACCAAGAGTCGAAGTTATAGCTTACCTGATCAGCATCTCTGCCAGGCTTTTGGCATCTAGAAAGAAAAACACATGATTATTTTTCCCCCCAGTTTTCATATAAAGGATTTATTTTGGGGGGAAAAAAACTAAACAAAACAAAAGCTTGCTAAAATGAAACTTTACTTCGAAATGTGGCAGCACAAGTCCTTTAAAAATGTTATCATGTTTATGTCTTATCTCAACAACAACAACAACAACAACAAATTCACACTTTAGCCATAACTTTGCCACATGAACCTGTCTCGGAAAAAAAAAAAAAAAAGAATTCCACATGTCACACAGTCCATTGGATCGTCATCATGCAGGTCCTCTGCAGGCAATGGGAAGACAAAAACTAAGTTCACTTATTTATTTTTCTATGTATCTTGGCACAGTCCTGTTCCCCAAATTATTTCATTGATGTAATTTGTTTATAGTGCTTTTTTTTTGACTCACTGTAATGGGTTTAGTGTGGAAGTGTTATGTGGCTACATTGAACATATTTGCTAATTCTGTACTAAAAACTCACTTCTGGTACTTTCAGTCCAGTTATTCAAATGAGGAGTTTCAATACAATAAAAAAATGACCTAAATAAAGTTGCCTATGATGGGCCAATTCCTAATTTGACTCGTTTAATTACCAGATTTAGAGGTGAAGAAAGAAAGGTAAGATAATATTGAGGGAGTTACAACAAACAAATGGCCAAGAAGCTTCTGGAGATGTTCAAAGGGGCTTTTTGCATAAAATTGAATTTGCTAAATGTAGAATTTGTATTTTATGGGGGTTAACCTTGATTTTAGCCTCTCTGTCACCACACGCATTGCAAACCGATTAGATTTGAAGTTTCACCCCTCTAGAGAATGTTGACATTGAGAGTTCATGTGGGAGGAGGAGTGTCTTAAAATGGGAAGGTAGTAGAATTAAAAAAACTACACAGGAAGCTGTAACAAACAACACAAAACGAATAAAACAAAAAAACCTCCTTGGCAGAGGTAAAACTACATTCCAAAATCTGTTTGAAGTCAGCTCCCGCTTCAGGCTGTTTTGTTCTTATTGCCAACTCATCACACTCGCACGTCCTACTAGTTTACTTCTCTTCTCACCTCGCAGTCGCTTCAGCCTCTTTTCTTTACGTTTCTTGCGGACAATGAAGAGGAGCGCCACGCCAAGAGTGACCAGGATCACTGGACAGCCGATAGAAAACAGTTTCTTGACGTCGTCATTCTTTTCCAAGGGGGACTTGATGGGGGGAATTGTGCCTGAGGGGAAAAAAAAAAATGTTTTAAATGTAAAAAGCAGGGATGACGATCAAATCGGACAGTATGATGTTCAAGTGACATCAATGACGCAGGCCATCAACTCACTGCCGTCGTAATCCAGTGTTGCAAACTGGGAGCTCTGGTTGCCACAGCCAGCACTGTTACAGGCTTTCATCTTCAGCTCGTACCAGGTGGCCTCTCGCAGCTCAGCCAGGAACACTTCTTTGGTGGCATTGGTGCGCACATTCTGCCATGCCCACGTACCTGGAGCGATGCGGCCACATTAAGGCATTCACCGTTAGATTTTTTTTTTTTTTTTTGCCCCCAAGAATGGAAATGGCTCACCTTTTGGACGAAATTCGAGTGTCACAGCACCAATCGGACAGCCCCCGCTGGCCCAGCCTTGCAGATTGAGGCGGGCGTGACTGGAGTTAATGTGAGTGAAAACGGGTTGGTCCTTGTTGAACTGGGGTTCTGGAAATCACCATAGATCACAGTTATTTACAGATTCTGGGTAGTAGTGCTGAACGATTTTGAAAGACATCTCATTGCCATATTTTCGTCTCAACATTAATTTTGCCAGTCAGCTGGGATAGGCTCCAGCACTTTCTCGCAACCCTGTTTGGGATAAGCGGTGTTGAAAATGGATCGATCGATAGATGGATGGATAAGTATTTTGGTTTTATATGTTAGGATTACGCAAAAATAAAGGCAACAGAACTGTGAATTAATATGGAGAAGTTATCTACTTCAATTAGAGTTGTTAACTTACTAAACACTTTAACTTGCAGTCTTTAAAGTGTTCACTATGACATTTTCACAAAATTCTACCAAACAAGTGTGCTGACAAGGTGGACATTTTTGGCGAACATGTTTCCGTTAGCAAGTTGACGGTGTGTGCCTATTTAACACAAACAATACTTTTGGAACATCCAAAAGTTTTTTTGCTGTCTCGAGTGATATTTCACAATGACACAGGGGACATGTGTCATCCAGCTACATATATGCTACTGTTTTAGCTTCCACTGATGAAAGACAAAAATGCTGGTCGCAGTGCCATTTAAAAACTTCAGAGTGTTCCTTAAAGGGCAGTTACCCTTTCATGACAGGGTGAACAGCAATTTCAAGGACACATGCAAAATGTTAAAGATGACCGTGAAAACAAAAGATACATTTTAGTGAAATAAAATGACTTCTTGAGGACAACCATGTTGAATAAATAATTTGATTTCATTTTCATCACTTATTACATACAGCAGTGTTCGCAACTCACTTACATCCAATGGGAAAAAATGCATAGAATGAAGTAAATTTCTACTGATATGTGTGCAAAAGTTTGGCCATTTATAATAAGACCTTGGAGTTTCACTAATTGTAATGATGCCTGAGAAGGACACCTAAACACTTTATAGCAGGGGTCCCCAATCTTTTTTGCTCCACGGACCGGTTTATGTCAGACAATATTTTCATGGACCGGCATTTAAGGTGTGGCGGATAAATACTACAAAATAATATGCTAAGAGCTGCATGAACACTGTGGTGTTTTCGAGAGATAATAATAAACACGAGGAGCGTCTAATCTGGCCGCAACACTCTGATCGCCATGGTAATGTTTAATGCCTTCAAAATACGATACAACGCAAATTCAAAGTGCATGAAAATGTCAACTCACCACAATGCTGAATCAGTGCGAGCCCCGAGCTTGATTTTCTGCAACCGGGCGGTCCCATCTCGGGGTAATAGGAGACACTGACACCTGAAGTGTGTGCTTTATGTCGAGTCTTCTTGTAATTTTGTTTTAGTCGCCGTTGCTGCCCAAAACCCCCGCCTCACACAGGTAGCATGTCGGAAATAGCAACAATGCTATTGTGGCGATCTCAGAGTATTCAGCCATAACTTCAATCCAGAACACCGGCAGAGTTGTTGTCTCGAACGTACTTTTAAGGCCGCCGTCATTTGCAATCCCCAGTGGTTTATTTTACTCATTTAGCAAGCTCCGGCGTTTTGTTTTTAGCATAATGAGTCACGTGACGGAGTAGCGTGGTTTGACGTGCGTCAAGAGTGACACAGACGGATGTAACGGAGAATCGGGTAATTTTTCAAAATAAAATATATTTCGTATTCCAAAATAAATACAACGGAATTAATGGAAGTTCTTATTGTGCGGCCCAGTACCAAACGCCCCGCGGACCGGTAGTTGGGGACCCCTGCTTTATAGTGATGTTCACTCAAATTTATTTGAGGTACTGTATCCCGCAGATGGCAGTTTTCTAGTTTCAGTCTATCAAGATGAAATGTGATTTTTTGTTTTTTTGACAGAGCTTCTCTATTGGTCATAACTAGAAAGAATGGCTGACTAGTACACAGTTTAATCATTTTTTTCGCTGTTCTTTGAGGCGTGTCTCACCTCGGCCATGGGTCTTGGCCTCAATGATTTCGCTGATGCGTCCCGCTCCAACGCTGTTCTTCGCCGCCAGCTTGACTTTGTACCAGGTGCCGCAGCGTAGGTTGTCCAATTTAAAGGAGCGCTCGGTGGAGCTGATGAACACATCTTTCCACTCCTCTGTGTTGTCCACAGAGTACTGCAGCACAAAACCTGCGCACGGAGCACACAAAGTCTCGCATCCATCCATTACATTCATCACTTCCAAACTAACTGAGCATCCTTGGCTTTCATTTCGTCAAGTGATAAACACGGGTACGTCTACCTTCCACTAGGTGGCAGTATTAGTCTGTTGACCCCAAACAAAGCTCAGTTTGAAGGACGGCCTAATTTTCCGAGGTTACTTTAAAACCTCAAGAGTGGGATACTACTCAGAGAATCTTTGCTAATAAGGGTAAGGAATGTTTATTTATTTATGTTTTTAAATACATAACATGAAATCAGCTGCATAGAAGAGAAAACCTCTTCCGACCTCTCTGGTTAATATTTATGTGTATGTCTACCATCAACACTTTTTGTACTTGTTTATAATAATAATAATAATAATAATAATAATACATTTTATTTATAAGCGCCTTTCAAGACACCCAAGGACACTTTACAATCAGGAACAAAAACAATAAAACACAATGTTTACTTTTATTTTTCATACTGTATTCTTTAGTCTAGTGCATTGGGTTAATTTGTTGATCTATTAATTGGAGTAAAGTATACACACTTACTAGACAATCACTTAAGTATGTCTGCTCAAATGAACAAAATCCAATATGTTTCCTTTACAGTACATTGATAAAAAGAGGTTTTTCAGTAAAATCTCGCTCTATCAACCTTATGGTCAAGCTATTAACACAATTTTCCAACAAATTTGATCAAATTTGATATTAGATGAAGAAAAAGACCATATATTCATACCTCGAATAGAGCTTCCACCGTTATCTCCTGGTATCCAGGCCAGAGTGATGGAGGAAGTGGAGGTAGTGGACACAGTGAGCCGAGGCTGATCTGGGGGAACTGAACAGAAGACATACACAACGAATACAGCATATCCATAAAGTTTGGCGTTCAACTGCTCCCTCCACCAAAAATAAACAGCAGCCGATGCTGTCAGTTTGCCACCTTGCACTAAAAGATTGACGATGATGGTGTCAAAGCCCAGCGTGTTGGTGGCCGTGCAAGTGTAGTAGCCAGAATCTTCAGCTTTGACAGTGCGCAGCACCAGTGTGCCATTAGCCATGATCAGACGTTGTCCATCCAGAGACACCGGGATGGCTGTGTTCTCACTACCCGAGACAAACACAACACATTTTATACCACTGTTTGAATTGAAAGGCACCAATGACTCAATTCTGTGTTTTTTCTCACCTGTCTTTGGTCCATTTTATGGTTGGTGTTGGTTCGCCTACGGAGTTGCAAGGCAGCCGTACCTCTTTCATCCATGGAGTGGTCACCGTACCCCCAAATGATAGGATCTTAGCAGGGGCTGATTGAATATGGAAAAGAAGACATGAAGACTCTTTGGGCTCCAATTTCATACATACTGGCATATCTTGATTTTCATGCAGGGGCAGGCATGGTTGTGTTGGACATTCCGGCGGACCGAGGATGTATTTTATCACACGCCCCCTGCACACCTGACAATTTGGTGACTGAAAGTAGAATAGAGGGCTCCGTCCTTTTAGCAATTACCCACAATGCACTACCAGCGGCCATATTGGAGGGCTGTCATAAACAAGCCATACACGAGGTCTATTCGTGTATAGGAAAAGGACGGAGCCCTCTATATACTTTCGAACAGCTCAGAACAGGTTGAAGTTGCGGCACAGGTTGTGTAACGTAATTTTGGTGAATTTGGTTGAGGTGCAGGCCCACAGATTTTGTGCTCCACTCATACGTGTGGTGGATTGTATTTCATTCATAAATAGAACAACAGCTAACAGCTTCCATCTGACCCGCTGAATAATTGTAGAAAACAATTAATTGGATTTTTAAAACACCCTCCGGTCACAGCTGTGCAGGGAAATATGTGTGTGTGTGTGTGTGTGTGTGTGTGTGTGTGTGTGTGTGTGTGTGTGTGTGTGTGTGTGTGTG